GAACTTGTGAATTTTTGAACATGTATTTTTTTCATTTTACAGTTGGGAAAATGTGTTGAATATTGTACTATGTTACATGTTCAATGTTGAACAATTGGATTCAGTTTTTTGAACATGTGTAAGTTTTTGCAAACATTACATGTACAATCATCCACTTATGTATGTTGACCTTTTGTTTGTCTGGGTATCTACAGCATAGTCTGTATGTGTAAAGTTATTGTCTTTCTGCGTGAAAGTAATGTCTGTCTGGTTATCTCTGTTGTTTGTCTATTCAACGGTTATCTCTGTACATTAACAAATACAATCATATCTCCGAACACTTTTATATAACCACATTAACAATTACTAAACTAATCAAAATGTACTATAAAATACAGTTTTACTAAACTCATCAAAACAACCCACAAAAACACATTCCCACATTAATAACAATTCTTATGCTTCCTCCACCTTCTCCAATCGCCACAAGCGAACGACGTATTGACATCTTTTGTTCCACGTGTTTGCATAGTCACAACCTAGAATCAATGGTGTTCCCATTAACAGGTGCTCTGCAAAGGAAGCCACAATCACTCCACATTCTCCCGACCTGTAGACAGACAACTCAGAAGAAAGGCCAGACATTTTATATCACATTACAGACAATTCAAATGGAATGCCAGACAACTCTTTTCACTTCACAGACAACTACAAACCAATTTTCAACATCCGAAGAGAGACATCACAAAAGTCATCACACATACTATAAAATACATTTGTAAAATAAGAAGATGTGCATATACATACACTCAAACAAATAAATTTGTCTGTCCGGACAGACATCTTATGTAAGACTCTACCAATTGTGAAACAATGCTCAGCTAGACAAACACTGCAATTCAAATTTGTCTGTCAGACAGACAACCGTTTTTCATGTGGAGTTGGACGAAAAAAATACCAAAAATGAGGAAAAGGACCATCTCAAGTCTTTCAAGACCATCTCACCTTCGTCATCAACCTCGTTTGGGGAGGTGCAGTCGGACGGGAACTGCCTCTTCACTGCCTCGGAGCTTGAAACTGTGAGGTTGGTTGGTTCGTGGGGGTGGGTCAAGGGGTGAGGACAACTTTTTGTCGTTGTTAAACTCCTCCTGCACTTCTTAAACTCCTCGTCGTTCGTCAATGTCTAAGGGTGAGGACGGACGGCGGTTCGGTTGGTTCGTGAGGTTGAGGAAGGCGGTTGGTTGGTGGGGGTGAGGACGACGGCTGTGGCGGATGGGTTTGGAGTTTTACGAAACTTGCTGGGGAAGGGAAAAAGTGGGAGGGGAGGGAGATTTGGAAATGGAGGTGAGGGGGGAGCTTGGGGGCAGCCACCGGGCAGGTGAGGAAGGGGAGGAGGTAAATTTTTTGGAAGGACTTTTATATGAGGTACAAATTGGGGTAAAGTTGGGGTACTTGTAGCATTTTTGGTAGTACTAAACTTTGACGAGAATAAACGTTTGGGTACGTACGTGCTCCGCCACAGAATATTACAGAGTACTATCTATGCCACAATTGATTCTAATACTATTTGGCAAAACGAGCTTTATTTGAATTAGAGATATTAAATGAATTGATAACTTTTGTCTAAAACGAAATCTGATTTGTTGAATTTGAATTAGAGACTGTTGATTATTTACTTGTATTTAAGGAGGGAGGATTCAATTTTATCATGGCTTAATCTTAAAATTCTTAAATAGAAAATTAATTCATAACAGACAGAAGTATGAATTATTAATTGTAATATAGATAGTATGATAGTAGTACTTAGGGGTGTTTGGAACTGATTCTGCTTCTGTTTCTGCTTCTTTTTTAAAGCGGAAGCAGAATTAGTTTTCAGAAGCTGGTACCCCTCAGCTTCTAAAAAAACTGATTCTGAGAGTAAATTAGAGCACGAGAAGTGCTTCTGCAATTTCACCCAAACACTCCAGCTTCTGCTCCCTGATGAAAGAGCAGAATCAGTTTTGAGAATCACATCCAAACCCCCTAATATAAAGGTCCAAAGCTGCTACATAGACGGGGTATAGAGACACCCGGCCCTATCCGTCAGCACATTTGAGTTCATGCATTCAATCTTATTTTTTACTCGTTTGTATTTCTGCGTTTTGTCCTTCAAGCGCTGCAATTAGCAGCGGTTCACTTATAAGACGTTTTGGCTGGACAACCAAAATCCAAACGCACACGTACATACTCAAAAACTTTAAATTCCAATAGTATTGATAGTGTATCGATCTATTCGTAATCACTTTGCACACACATAATATATATAAGTTGATCATTTTTTGTGTATAATTGTACATTTGTTTCTAACATAAAACTGATTTCAATTATTACTTGATTTCTATCGTACTTCATTTATTTTGCTTTCCACTAACATAATTTCACTGAACTATAAATTGTGTAATTAATATCACTTACCTATAAAAGTGAACTTAAGCTTTTGTTAAACAAACGTGAAGGTAATTTTTTAATGAAATGAAAAGTTGCTTGCGCCCTCATGTATTTGTTAAATACAATGTTCGTTATTTATGATTAGTTAATTTTAGAATGTAGAGTTTTAATGTGATTGATCATTTGTCAAATATATTTGACAATTAATTATGATGATGCAAATTTGATCCTCTGGAGACATTTTTATACACGCCACCTGGCCTCTTAATAGGTGATTTGGACACGGTAATAAACTTATCGTCTTTCATACATAAAAGTGGTGTGAATACATATATATATACGATTATGTTATGATGAGGTCATCCATGACACTAACTTACGGCAAAATAACAAACAATTTCGTCAAAAATTGTGTGTTGGAAGCAACTTTTGACTGTTGTAATATTTAATTTCTTTTATTTACAACGGCTGTTCTCAAACGCACGAAACCATGCAATGCCGTACTATGGAGTACTTCCTCCCTTCTATGTTAAACGCAGCAGTTCACTTTTCGCGTTATCAAGACACAAGTTTGACCATTAATATCTTTCATTCTTTATTATGTAAAAGTAAAAAAATCGATTTTGAAAAATTGAAATGAGAAGAATTTGACAATATTTTTCTAAAATTTAACTTATAGTTCATTAATAAATAAAATAGAGTCAAAATTGAAGAACGGTGAAAAGTCCAATGTGACATTTAAAATAAGGAAAGATAGTATTTTTTAATGCGAGTCAAACCTTCATAAAAAAGAATACCTGCAGGTGTTCTAGATCCTAATTTGATTATGATGATGATAATTGTTCTGTCAATGACCTTTTGTTTTTTTAATCATTTCCAGATTTAGACCGAGGCTAGTTTGATAAAAAGGTGCAGTGATATGAGAGCTAGGCGAGTCTCTAAGATTTTCCAATCCTCCTAAATCACAGAAATAATAAATTAATGCGCAACTCTTAGCTCGCTCGATCTACCCGTATATTATTCCTAGCTACCAGCTAAATTAGCCCACCACGTAGATGAAGCTTTTATGTGCATGAGAAATTTTCTTTATTGTTATTTTATTAAAATCAGATTAGACTATATTAAAAAAAAATCAAATCAGATCAGCATGGTTTCTAAAAATTTCAGATCAGAGCATTCCAATCAGGTGAAGAGAATACATTATATTGTTAGTCCATTCTTTAATATTGTACTACTTTCGTCGGAGAATACATTATATTGTTAGTCCATTCTTTAATATTGTACTACTTTTATCGTCCCATTGAAAGATTCTCGTCGTCCACTATTCACATGGTCAACTTAAATCATTCTTAATATTTTGTTTTATATATCAAATTTTTATCAAATTTATAATTTTTTATCAGACTTTGTAGCGGTTTTAATGTAGTTTTTGCATATGTAAATTTTATTTATGAGAAAATTTTTTATATAAGAGTATAAGACTAAAACATAAACAAAGTCCACATATAAGACTATCATTGTTTTCTTCCTAAAATAGGACACATTCACTCCTAATATGAAAATTTTATACTTTTAATATAGGATCAAATAAGTCTTATTTTGAGAATAAAATACACGTAGTTCTATTTGTGCATTTGTCAAAATTTTAGTCCTATTTAGAGCAATTTCTGTTTTATTTACTAAACATAATCAAAGTGTGCACATGCATTAAGTTGTTTTATCGTGAGTCAAACATTGAGATAGTGTTTAGTAGCTAGTTACAATGAATATGTGCACAAATAGGAGTTGAATGTTTCTTAAAACTAAAAATGAACTCACTTGACAAATTTACCTTCAATGAAATTTCAAATCTATTTATAATTAAAATTAAAAAAAAAACGAGAACCATAACTTCCATGACACTATATTGTTGAGTATAACACCACTGCCCCTCAAAGAAAACTCAGTCACCGTTACCACTGCCCTCCGCCTCCGCCACATGCGGCGCCATCGCCATCATCGCCAGTTCAACACAACGACGCAATTGCCACCAATTTTGAAGGTTTGATTCATACTTAAAAATATGCTCGTGCGGAGTAGAGACCCAGTCCAGTACATCAGGATTTTGACCTTCACACAACCAATATAAGATTCATTCATCAATCGCTCGTTAAACTTCTTTAATTGAGCTATAGTGCCACTAGTAAATTGTTATATCCCTCCAAATTAAAAGGTTAAATATTCAATCTCGACCTTTCGTTCTGAATTGATAAGAACTTCACTCGTGTTTTATAACTTTGTCAACTTTCTTTTTTTGGAAGTCCTATTAATTTTGTCACTTTCACTAAAGAATTTGTGGTTCCAGTTAATTCTCTTTTCTCTGCACAAATCTCAACCTACACAGTTTTTACTTTATTAATTTCCAGTATCAATGAAACTTGGCAAAGTTATTAGCTATGGAGGGTGTAGAGAATGTAAATCAATTTCGACAAGGCACGAAATTGTTATATGGATGAATGTATGGAAAGCAAGGGGCCATATAGGCACATACGTCCAACCGACACGCAAAGATAAAAAGCCACTAATCATAGCCCCTAGAAAAAGCCCTTTCTTTCCGCCCATCTTTCCTCGTTTCTTCTTCTACATGTCTCTTTCCTCATCAATTTCAGAGCCAATAAAAAGCGTTAGCAACAAAGCTGAGGCTAAAACAGAGCCAGTTAGTTAACTGCTTTTCTTTCCCCTGCTTTCATTTCCACAGATATGAAAGTGCCCTTTACTTCTAATGAAAACGTGAACTCCAAGGCATCCTCCACCGCGCTATTGACAACTAATTCTGGGGCTACTAACAATAATCTCAATATCCAGCCCCCCGCCGCCTCCCCTGCTTTTCCGGCCACCAACGCCGTCAGCTACGAACCGAAATCCGTTCTCGATCACCGCCGCAGCCCCAGCCCCATCCTCCCGGAAAACACCCGCCCGCCTCTGGATAGCGACGACCCTCTCCAGCTGGCTGACCATGTGCTGACCAACTTTGAAGACTGGGATTCTGAGTCGACTCAGTTTCTTGAGTTTCAACACTCTCTTGAGTCGGCCGATCATAATCAGTTCCTGCAGCCAAATTCTGATCAACAACATCAATTCACCTTCTCCGATGACACATTCACGGCGGCGGCGGCGGCGCAGTATTCTCAACCGCCGGCTCTGGTGACTCAGCAGGGAGGTGGGAACAATATTAATGACGATTTTCAGCAGCAAAATAGCTGGAACTTGACGGCGTTCGATTTCGTGGGCGAGCTGATCCGGTTCGCCGAGTGTTTCGAAACGAACGCCGCCCAGCTGGCTCAAGTGATATTGGCGCGGCTCAATCATAAGCTCAGATCTCCGACCGGAAAGCCGCTCGAGAGAGCTGCCTTCTATTTCAAGGAATCTCTCCAGTCTCTACTCACCTGGTCGACTCGGATGACCAAACCCGCCTCCTCCTCGTCCGAGATCATCCAAACCATCAAAGCCTACAATATCTTCTCAAGCATCTCTCCGATCCCCATGTTCTCCAGCTTCACGGCTAACCAAGCCATCCTCGAAGCCGTGGTCGGCTCCCCGCTCGTCCACGTCATCGACTTCGATATCGGGCTGGGCGGGCACTGGGCTTCCTTCATCAAAGAGCTAGCCGAGTCTTCCTCCCGAGCCAAGCCGCCTGCTCTCCGTATAACGGCTCTCGTTCCCGATGAGTACGCGGTCGAGTCGAGGCTGATCAGAGAGAACTTGACCCAGTTCGCTCGTGATCTCAACATGGCGGCTTTCGATTTCGATTTCGTGTTGATTAGCACGTTTGAGCTTTTGTCCTTCAAAGCAATTAAATTTATGGACGGAGAGAAGACCGCGGTTGTTTTGTCTCCGTCCATATTCAGGAAGATCGGGACGGGATTCGTCGCCGATCTTCGTCATATTTCGCCACACGTGGTGGTCCACGTGGACAACGAAGGGCTCACGGGATTCGGCCCATCTTCTTTCCGCCAGATGGTGATGGAAGGGCTGGATTTTTACTCGACGCTGATGGACTCCCTTGAAGCAGCGGCGAATGTCCGCGGCGGTGGCGGAGACTGGTTGAAGAAGATCGAGACTTATGTGCTATACCCGAGAATAATGGAAATGGTAGGGGCGGCAGGCCGCCGTGGGACGCCGTGGAGAGAGGCTTTTCTAGCGGCGGGGTTCAGGCCGGTTGTTTTCAGCCAGTTTGCGGACTTTCAAGCTAACTGCTTACTTGGAAGGGTAGAAGCGAGAGGGTTCCAGGTGGCGAAAAGGCAGGCGGAAATGTTGCTTTGCTGGCATGACAGGGCTTTCGTCGCCACGTCAGCGTGGCGGTGAATAAATTGACCGGTCGTATATAGATTAGGGGAGGAGGGTTGCCGCCTACAACAATAAGGATCCGAATTGATATGGTACTTTTTTTCTAAATCAATCTTGGTCGTTCATGTAGTTATTCCAAACTTCCACCGTCCTTAACTGGTTAAACTTTTTTCATTTGGTTACTGCAAAATTTTGACATCTTCTTCTTAAAATAATAAAGTATAGTACTGTATATGATTAATGTCTTTGTTTTTCTTTACATTAATCATATAATTTTAGTTTATGATTTTAAGTGTCAATCAAACTAATGAGAAAGGGAGGGAGAATTGAAGAAATGATCTGTTTTCTGAATATTATCTATTTGTCTTTTGAGTATGTATTGTAAAGGCTTTCTATTTTGTTTTGAGTATGTATTGTAAAGGCTTTCTATTTTGTCATTGTAGTGTCTTTCACTAAGAAAGTAATGTGGAGTTCGTACTTCATTCTTCATCTCAATCTTCTCGTTTACTTTCAATTTTTCTTATAGTTATGAGGTAACATTGACACTGGTTCACGAATAGAGGAAGTATTTATACTCCATTGTAGAGATTGTTTTTAGGGTCCTTTTGATTAGAGTGGTTTCAGACTCAGATCAAAATGGATCCTAAACAAGATTATTCAAACAGATCAGCAGATCTAAACGGATCATATCAAATAATATCATATATGTAGATCATATCGGACCTGACAAGACTTCAATAATTATACACATTAAATAGACATCTATCAAACCATATCAGTTCAAACTAGACCAATTCAATCCAGAAAATTACAGTTCAATTAAAAATTCGTACTCCCTCCGTCCCAAAAAATTGTTCCCGGTTTCCTTTTTGGGTCGTCCCAAAAAATTGTTCCACTTTCCCCTTTTGAAAAGTTTTGTGTGGCTAACATTCATTTACCTTTTTCCTACACAATCACAACCATACATTTCCACTTTATTTCCACTTTCTTAAACTCCGATCCAAGTCAATGCGGGAACAAGTTTTTGGGACAAAGGGAGTAATCAGTTATACATAAAGCTTTATCCTAGTAACTAATGAACTTTGGGCATGTGCTACATATCCCCTTTATTCATAAAATTCTTCCGATTTGACTTGGATCAAAGTTTAAGAAAGTGAAAAATAAAGTAAAAATGTATAGTTGTAGTTGAATAAACAAAAATTAAATGATGGTTAGCCACACAAAATTTTTCAAAAAAGAAAATGAGAACAATTTTTTGGACATCCCAAAAAGATAAGTGAGAAGGATTTTATAAGAGTGATGGAGTATATTACATTACTTAGGAAAGAAATTTTGACAATAGAAAGATCCTTTTCTACTATCAGGTGAAGCTAAATTCTCGAGAGAAATGAGTAAGAATTATACGGAGTATCCAGAATTGAACTTTTACTATGCAATTAAAATATGTGTATGTGATTGTGCAGTTGTTGATTGTTTGTGTTTTTTTCTTTAATGGTTGATTTGTGTGTAATTTCCGTTTGTACTTGTACGTTTTTAATTAGTTTTGTGATTCACTAGCTTGGAAATTACACACTTTTGGTGTAATGTTTTGTTTTATTTAAATTGATATAAATTGTTTAGATTAGGATTTTTATGAGCATAGGACAGGTTGAAAGCACTCAAAGGATCAAGAAATGAATCTCAAAGACCAAAAGGTGTGCAAGGAAACAAGATCAGAAATTGATTTGGGAAAAAGTTCATATACCCGGTCGGGTCTATGCCATACCCGATCGGGTATTGACCCGATTTCGTTGTCCAAATCAAATCCCGGAAACAAAGGATCGTGGGAACAAAATATTTGAAAAATCCGATCTCATACCCGATCGGGTATACCGACACACCCGGTCGGGTATGAGGTGACGTTTTCTCACTTCTCGGAACCAGCTGAGTACCCGATCGGGTACCCCAAACACCCGGTCGGGTACATGATCCTGCCACCTTCATTTCCCTATAAATACACCCATTTTTCTTCACATAAAGGCATTCCTTCTTCTATACTCTTAAGCTCAGTTTAGAATAATATTTCTTTCATATTTTTATAGCATGTTTAGTCTCCAAATGAGGGGCTAAACTTCCATTTCTTGGTTTTGCTCTTGAAGCTTGTTGATTATTAAAGTTGTGAGTTATTTTCTTACTTTCTCCTCTTGATTATTAATTCTTCCCTTAATCTCATTCTATATTAATGTTGGAGGGTTGCTAAGTGACGATTAGTTAACGTTCCGACATTGATTATTACTAGAAACGATCAACGAACCGATGGTTAATCGTTGGTGGTTTCACAAGTAAGTAACTTCGGTTTATTAATGCACGGTCGTGGTTAACAAACTTAAGAGGGATTAATTTTGTTGGTTAAACCGAAACCGTTGTGTTGAGGTTATCAATCTCAATTGATTTCATCAAGAAGTTAAAGAGATTAAATGCTACTATTATATCGGTATACGACGTTGTTCTATATTTGAATAATAGTAAGGGTTATTAATGAACGGTCGTTGTTAATAACTACCATCGAAGAATTGGAGATACTCCTCGATTGAGTATTCGAGAGGAGATAAGTGATATAATAATGATCGACTGAAATATATCAACAAGTGGAAAGTAGCAAAACCAAGTCCCTTTTATTCTTGAATTTAATCTCATATAACTCGTTCATCTTCGTGTTTAATTTAATTAAATCACTCAACAATCAAAACCCCTTTTAATTACTAGTTACATAAAAAGAGACTTATTCCTTTCCCTGTGGATACGAATTCTACTACGCTATACTACGTATAGTTGTTAGTATTGAATTTATTTTGAGTGCACACACGACAAAGTACACGTCAATGGTTAGGAAAGCATAAGATTTCATCATTAGAAAAGGGAAGTTTATCTCTAACTAAAAAATGCCCCTCAATTTGGAATATGTTAACGGAGGACTACATAATTGTTGATGAAGGGGCATTTTTGTTTTTCATAGGAATTGAGGTGGAAAAACAAGGATTTTTAAAAACGGGATTTCAAAATCCGTACTATTCATATTTTAATACATCCACATTTTTGTTGCATTTTTAATATCAAAACCTTTTACTACGTATTTTATTGGGTATCATACTATCATATAAGAAACACTAATCATTATATTCTTATTATTAAAGAAATGTAAAACTACATGTTTATTTTTCAGTCAATTTATTCATTTTAGGTATTTGTTTTTAATAGCAATAACTCGATGATGAAAAGTTTAAAACCAAATTTAATATTGCACAACAAAACAAACAGTAATATGCATATAAATAAATGTGTGAATATGAAACGACTTAAAATCTAGTAATAATAACAATAACTATAGCCATACACAACAACACATTGAGCGATACACCAACTGCTTCAATGATGTTCAACCATCAATTCCCTAAGATGGAAAAACAAAAGTAAACCTCTTAACCTCCAAGAGATCGAATAATGTTTACTGCTTAGTGTGCATAAGATGTAATGTGGGAAGCTACGGATGGACTAGGTGCACCTCCACTTTGGATCAGAACCAGAACCAGAACCAGAACCAGAACCAGTTAATGGCAGTTCATTTCTGGCCAGTTTATGAAAACCTTAACGGGAACCGGTTAATAGCAGTTTGTTTCTGGACCGCTCATAACCGTCAGTTCGGGATTCAATTCCTGTCAGTTCCGGACCAGATTTTCAAGTCCACTTTCGAAGAAAAAAACAGAGCCAGAACCAGCAAGTCTGTGTCTATTTTGGAGAAACAACAACCGGACCAGAAATAGGATGGATCTGTTTGTGAACCGCTTGCCAATGTGGTTTGCAGTTAAAAATTGGATGGTCTCAGTCAGGTTATGGGTCGGGACCATGGGAGTCACCCAGGTGGGCGCATACAACCTCCTGGAAGGAGGAATCTGAACTTATCTGCATTTTCTATCAAATATGAAGGAAGGTTAACTGCAGATGATGAAGGAGGGACGGATCCCATCTTCTTGATCAATTCTTTGAAGCTATACTCCTCTGGCAACATGTCATAAAGATCAGCGCCCTCACAAATGAGCTTTTGTATCCTGGTATAGTCAAGATACTCTTTACGTTTCACTCTGTCAGCATGACTATAAGCAGTCATTTTGAAAGCAAAATCATTGAGATAGCGGAAACAAAAGCTACAGTGCCACCCGGCATCAGAGAGGATACGAGCGGTTTGGCGTGAATGACGATACTGAGTCCACGGGCTGAATATGTGCACACTGGCCCGCCAGCTGCTGTAGTCAACAGGGAACTCAAAAGAGTATAAGTAGTGCCGGAGTTCGAGATGCAGAACAGGTGGGACCCCTTCACACCACTGAAGCAGTTTAACGGTGTGGTGGCTTGGGATTTCATCCGTATCTGACATAATGACAAGGTCACCATTCGAAATACCCGCACTGCGGAGTAACCGATTCATAGCCACACGCTGCTCGGATTCAAGCTTAAATGGATCCTCATTTTGTGACCGTCGGGGCTTAACATGCCCAGGGAATACACCGTGAACAATCCTTTCTGCAGCGAAGGCAAACCGATGCTGGTTTTCGAAAAAAAACAGAGGCTTCGGGATTCCAGTGAATGTTGTTTTTGCTTCTAAGATCACAAATTTAGTCACGTATGGGTGCAGTTCTTTCCACCTAATCTCGAGCAAGTCCAGCTCATTGCTAAATATGATAGCATCAAAAACACGCCTCGGTTGAGAACGTGCAGTCCACCCATGTAGGTGACAAAGGTGCTCCATGGATACATTCTCTGCATAATAGTGAGGTAAGCGTTCAAATGGAGGGGGTGGGTTGTCCCACAGAGGGCGGAAAAAGTATGAGATCCTCTGAGCATGGGAGAAGATTCCAATGACACAAGCTGTGAAGAGTATAAAGAATACCCCTGTAAATACATATTTCCGAGGGGATCGTCTTGGTGTGACGCTGAAAGGTCTTGGGGCCATGCTGCTGTACCAAAAGTCCTCCAACTAACATAATACCATCCTTCAATTCCGATATGAAAATTTTTTCCCTTGTGAATTAGCAAGCTGAAAAGAAAGTAAACAAGATGATAAATTTTAAGTGAAGATAGATTCCCAAAAGACAGAAAAGTAAAATATAACCAAAGAGATTGTTTCTAGTACAGATACTGGTTGGAAGTTGGAACTGCAGAGTACTGTACCACTCTTCTATATGAGCTCAGAAACACTTCAAATGTTTAGTCCAGCCATCATACTAAGGTGGGGGTTAGAGTCTCACATCAGATAAGTAAAGAAAGAACGAGGTCTTAATAAGACCATGGATTTAACTAGCTAACAGATTCATTCAATCTTTCAAAGGTTTAGTGATGTGCCTTTCGAAACCGTTGGGTAACCCTAAATATAATCCTGAACAATCATGAGTAGTTCTTAGTTTCCGTCTTATGGCTATGAAATCATAAGGGTTTAGATTCAACTGATCAACTAC